ATATAGAGCAATGTGATCATGGTAAAAGATAATAGTGCCAGCTACAAGTTTTAGCTTTCATCGACTTTAGAGTAAAGAGAATGTTGGTTAGAAAGTAAACCGACACTTAGTTGAATGAAGATAGGCTACAAGTTACAGAGAGCTCTTCGATCTAATTACCTTTTCAGAATACTCACACAGGGGAGAGCAGAATGACTGGATTGCGATGCGGCCAATGGATGCAATGTTACTGCTGTCTCTGTGGATATTATCACACAAGTTTTAAGATAAAGGAATAAGTTTCTTAACAAAGCCAAAAAATTAATCACAGAACTCCAACAACATCTGAACAAGTGACAAACTAAACAATATCTGAGGATGAAACTATTGGCAGCACACTGTATCATCTTTAGATTAGGAGCATTAAGAGGGGTGCTTGGTATGGAAGTGGACCAACAAATTTCATGGATCCAAAACTAGAGAGAAGTAATTGAGTATCAACACACAACCTCGGAAATTTTGATAGAAAAGTAGTGCAGTGTTCTTGCGCAACGGAAAGATCTGAAGAATCTAACAGACTGACACAATCTATCGGCCGTCCACTAAGAAATTGCCTCTCCAAGGGTTTTCTCATATCAAAGTCATTGGAGTAATCATCTGATCCAGGATTAAACAAAAATGGATTATGTTTCCACAGAATTATATTAACTTACTAAAAACTCAATATATACATGAATGACACACGGAAGAGTATATAACCGCACTAATTTGATTACCAATAGAGTTCTTCTGGTTTTCCATATACTTCCGGTATTGCCAAGCAATCCTCAAATTCTCTCCCTACAATATTGACAACAGTGCACACTACCCAACTTGTAACTAAATCTTCATGTCATGCCAGGGAAAAAAACAGAAAGGCGCCAACAAGAAATAAGCACCTGATCAAGGTCGGGCGTAGTAGGCTTATCCTCTTTGGATGATGCAGGATGTGGCAAAGTACCAAGAAACCCTCTCGGATCTTTCGAAGGACTAGCATAAAGAAGTGGTTGATTGTTTACAAGCCCCTGAGACATGAAAGTTCTTAACAAATCCATATGATGCGGTGCTTCAGGATCTTCCATCACCATTACTAAGCTCCCCAAAGTATACCCACCACCTAGTATTCCTGGACAGAAAAAAAAAATAGACAATCCTTTTATTCAACAAATCAATGTCTCTCCTCCTCATGTAGACTTAATGGGTAAATTTAAAGGAGAAATCTCACTGTCAAGATCACGAATCCCGGTTGATATAAAGGTTGTGCCATTAGGACCGCATTTGAGACCAGGTACTTGAGGCGATGACACAACCGATATGTTGCGAGAGAAGCTGCTACTACGAACGTTGGGTGCAGCCATAGCCGAATTAAGTAATCACTCAAGGAACTCGCTCCCCCAACTTCCAAATCTAGAAATCCCAAACCAAAATAAGCCGTCACTAAATTCCTCAATATTCACAATGAAATTCACTACTTTCTATTCA